TCACTACAGTTCTCGTCAAATACTTCCAGTAAATATGCAAGTCCCCCACAAATAAAATTCATCTCAAGCATGTCCACAGAGATCAAAAGCAACCATAAGCATGTACCATCCGCCAAACATATGCATGGTATTTGACAAAGCTAATTTTCATATCTGAGAACCATAGGCAACTAGCAGATTATGCTAATGGAAAAGAAGTAAGACCATTTTGACAACAATCAACCATTAAAGGTAAGGTAGAGATACTCACAGCTGTATAATGAGCCAATGTCATGAGCTGCTCCATTGCAGTTTCAGCTATTTTTTTCAACTGTTTTTGATGGGTAAGTTCTGATGCTAGTCTAGTGTAAATAAACATAAGATCTATGAATTCTGTCAGAAGCAAAATACATTCGGGTAATCCAATAGAACAAAGGTTGGAATTTTACTTGTCAAAATAGCGTTCCAAGTTGTGCCATTGAGGATCTTTACAACGATTTCCAAAGCGAACAACCTCTTTGGAAAATACTTTCAGCTCTTCCCTGTTGAATTGACATCAAAAGCTGACACACCTTTATTGATAAAAGCAATCTTTTAATTGACCAAGGCTATCATATTTTCTGATAGTTTACTTGTTGAACAGACTAAAACATCATAAATATCAAAATTGTACAATTTTTTTAGCATTTGACTGAATCAATTGAATGAGAAAGTTTGAGATTATGGACCTTTTGTCAGCAGCAGCAACCCTCAGCAACTCATCCATGTCTTTGGATATTAAATATTGTACACCTTCTGATCGAAGTACCACTTGCTTCAAATACTTTATGTTCTCCTTTGAAAGCGATTGCATTAGATTAAAACCTTTAACAACGGTATTGGCAACTTCAAAAGATAATATAGATATTTTGTTTCCCTTTGTTGAAACTCCTGATACAAAACTACTATTCAGGTGCAAATTCGTCATGGTACTACCGAGTGTATCCAATACCTCCACAGCTTTGCCAAACCCAACACTACCTGCCTTGCCCAAAACTGAGCTCACTTCAGAAACCTGCTATACAACAAATTATAATTAATTTGCCTAGTTCACATCTAATAAGTCAACGTTCAATGAATCAGAAGGCAAGCATAACACATGAATGACACACTGTACGAATAGAAAACTATTATAAACAATATATTACAGGAACCAAGAGATCAATTGTGCCAGTAAAAAACATTTTGGTAAGAATGTTGAGAGCAAAATAATAAGAAGAAACAATTTTAAGTACATATGCAACAATAGGCGACAGAAAGCAAGTCTTCTTATGCATATAACTAGAACAAGCAAGAATCTATATCATATTTTGTTCTGTTGTTTCTAGATGAATCTGGAAGACATTAGAAAGGAACGTGTGTTCCGTAACAACAATTTAACTTCATCAAACTCAGCAAAATGTGTATTGCTTAAATGAAGGAAAAAATTTAGTCGTGCCAGCTGAGATGACATGTTTATGGCAACATTATTTCTTACAGAATACACAATGATTTTACCTCCATTAAAAAAATTTGACCAAAGCCAGCACAATTACGAAACTTGTTTAAAAAGAACAGTTAAATTTATAAATTAAAAGCTAAAGGTGAAGAAGCAACTATGAAGCACAACTCAGCAATATGAACAGGAAATTATGATGGTCAAATGTATAGATGAGAAAAAAAAAGAAAAATGCATAAGCTGAGTCCAAACAAGAGATCCCCGATCAGAATTCAGAAAGCAAATTAGTTATGTCACTTCTTTGTTATGATTGATCAAGTTTTCTTCCATTCGAGAGCCTATATAATTTTGTACGATTTTATTCTATAATTGAAAAAAAAAAAACACTTGCATCACAAGTTTGTGTTCTTTGCAACGTTTGTTGTATAGCCCGAGTCGGTATGGTACGGGTGATATGGACCGGTACAACTAGCGACCAAGATGTCGATCACCCGAATCTCCATCGGCACACCCCAACGTACCGTGCGTCAATACATCAATACAAACTGGTATGTACCGACCCGACAAATCTCCAAGACAAATTTGGTACCCGAAATGACAAACCCTGGTTCTAAGAATGGCCCTTTACCAGCAATGGATGAGGCAAGAGCAAATTTCATATTGACTATTGGGCCTCCATGACTCATTTTGGTTGGTAGCAATATGTTACACTATCATTGTAACAATTCTGCAATTACCAGAACATCTAAAGCATCAAATTCAACAATATATTCATTACATAGAATGTTAGAAAACATTGTCTCAACAGAAATACGATGGATGAAGAACTCAACAACATTCATAACTTGCTTCCACTGATTCATTTCAACTGTGCACCACCACCCACTTACTCAGTTTTATATATAGTCTATTAAATTCAAATAATTCAAAGGAGACATGCCATAGAAAGCCATTTCATCTTCCCAGTGACCATGATCTTCTACACTACTAGTGGAGGCAACCAAACAAATATAACTTGTTCTACTGCCACTCCTTACCATCCAATTGTACAAAAGGAAACTATCACTAGATACACTTGCCTTAGCAATCCCAGACTGCCCGGGGTCGGAGGGCTTTGACATGGTTGACCTGGACTTTTGTGAGAAAGCCCTCGATAACTGTGGCTCCGTGGCCTCTGCAGAAGCGGCATGTAAGTCTTCAGCGGGCACACTCATCCCCTCCGTAACGGAAACGGTCTGTTCTTGCAGCCGCTTCTCCATAGTTTCTCCTGCTATCGAATAAGCCAAAGCCCCTTTCATCTTACTACGGGATTGATTCGGCATCGGTTGATCCCTGAGCCCATTGGAATCGAGAGTACTCTCGCTGGGCGATTTATCTACAGCAGATCGTTTCGAGCAAAGCCCGCCCATTGTGCTGAGCGTCTAACCAATCTCAATCCTTCTTCTCCTTTCGCATGCACAAATTCTTCGCAGACAATCTTTCAAAGAAACGACGCCAGGAGCAAATTCCACAGGGATCGCCACCGCAGCTCCGAGTCGATCTAGTAGCGTAACACCTAAACAAAAGGGGGAAAACATCTGGATTTTAAATCTAAAACCAAGTCCGACGCCATAACGAGTAGAACTCCGAATCCAAAACCCAAAACCGGCAGAAAACGAAAACAAGATTGAGATTCTTCGAGAAACCTACAGTAGCCAAACACGAGAAAACTAGCAAGGGAAAGAAAAAGGCCGGACCTTTGGGGCAGAATAAAATGGCTAAGCGATTGATCGATCGATTGATTGATGGTGCGGTCGATCAAGATCCAGCTTTATGCTTCCCACGGCAGCACGAGGTAGCAAGAAGACTAGAGAGAGGAGACCACACAGTCTACCGCAGCACTGAGAGAGAGAGAGAAATGGTCAAATCCAAACTGGGCCGTCCAAGTCTCCACTCAGCTCCTCTCAAGTCTTCTCCACAGACCCACACAAACTTCTCCTTCTTCTATTTTACAAGTGGGTCGTTGTCTATTGCGCCTTAGTCTTTAAGATTCGCATTTGAGATCACCGTGGAAAGAAGGTACAAAGTTATGACGTGATTATGTTCTATTAATTACATCTCGTTACTTAACCCTGACAACGTATTAATTACATCTCGTTACTTAATTCAGTCCTTTAACAACAACAAAGCTCATAAATGTAATTATTTAGGATATATCATATAATTTTTTTGCTGATAAATAAAAATTCATATGTTTAGTAAACTTAATGATATTTAATTTTTTATTTTATATTTCTATTAATTTTTTTCTCTTTTTTACTCTTTATATATTACTATTATTAATAATCATTTCATCGCTTTTGACTAATAATGTAATCGGTAAATATTTCAATAAATTATTTATCACTTAATTATTATAAAAAAAAAAGTTAAAAATATTATAGTATAGAATCTAAAGAGAATCAATATACATCTATTTAACAAGAATAAACTTTATCCTTGCATAATTTAAATTCAATGTCACGTGGGTTGTTTATTTTGAATTAGAAATATTTAGTCTCAAAATATAGAATCTAGAGAAGGTCAATATATATGCTATTAAATTATGCTATTTTGGTAGGCTTATCATATTGGAATCTTGATAATTTAGTAGGCTTGTCATGAAATAAAGACTCGTTCTCTTAATTCTTTTGATAGTATATGTAAAATTTATTGAAATTCCAAGGAGTAGTGATGGTTTTTATTAATTTAGCATAACCCTACTAAAAAAGCAATTAGGAGTAAATCTTTGATCTAGATAAAAAAAAATAATGGTCATGAGAGTAAATATTGAGTAACACAACTCAAAATGAGGAAGATTAATGATCTATTCAAAGGTAACTTATTTTAACTTTAGACATGCTTTATTACCGTTTTGTTGAGTTAACATGTCTTAGTAGACAGTAAACTACTGTGTCATTGGTCGGATTTTAAGGAGATATGCTAGTGGTTAAATTAAGATATCAGATGCATGGTTAAGAAATTAAGAAAGTAATATTTTTTTATAAAAAACATTACAGGTAAAAAATATTTACTAGGGAAAATTAATTATCGGAAAAGATTTAATAATCATATGTAATTAATATCTGTGATTCAAGATGGTCATAAAAGCAATCATGTTTGATATGAAGCTATCAAGGAACAACTTGTTCAAAGAAGAATCTTGTTGACTAATTCCACAACCAAGAAATCTTACCACTTGTTTATGCTTTATGGCAATTTATGGACTACAGAGCTTCTTCATCTTCTTTGCTTTGGCTGCATGTGCGTGAGAGAGAAAGACATGGCAATATATATATATATATATATATATATGATAACAGGAACTAATGAAGCATTGCTGGCAAAAGGTCACCCAGCTCATTCAAGAAAATGAAAGCAAAAGTATCTTAGATGGCATCTGATCAAATCATCAAATTCAAGTGCAGCAAGAATGCTAAGTGAACTCATAAGCTAAGCACCCAGTGATACTGCTTTCAGCATCATAAACCCAAATCCAATTATACAGCATTAAGTTCCCGATGCAAAAACAAAAAGAAAACAAATATCATACTTCAGCCGCTGCAGAATTATCATACAAGCATCAGACCATTTACAAATGAGAAACGTTTCTAACATCTTGTTCATGTGAGGAACATTTGGACGTTCGCCAGCCTTTTGGATGACAAGTTCATTTACAAAATTGGCACACTGTGCTTACCACAAGAATAAATTCTCTTAAAGCCAAAATTAGCTACAGGTGAACCTGGATCAGGGACAAGTAGAATGAAGTACAATGCACTCAAGAATCAGCATCCCCTTAGAAGGCTTGGGTCATCCATAGAGAGCTGGTCAACAAGCAGCTAACCAGAAAGGAAAGACATCGCTTTTTTGAAATCCAGAGATAGGGCAGCATCAGGGAAGTGAGTGCCTTGTGGAATCCACAAAGCACCTTCGCGAGGAAGCATTATCTTTTGGCCTTGGTTCTTTCCATCATTGCCAGTTTCTGCAGACGAAGCTTCTTTCTTTTTCTTCACAAACTCGAAGAATTCTGCAACTTGCCGGGCATACCTTTGAAAAAAGGTAAACATGATCTAAGTAAATCACTATCATTTATGCATTCAATAGCTCTCACTTCCACACATATGGTATAAAAGGCATATCTAAACTGATCCAGTGTGGAATCTCATTTTCTCAGCAGGGCATCCATAGGACAGGAAACCCTATAACAGTTGTCAGCACAGCATAACAGAACTACATAAAGATGAATGCAATATAGCAATTTTAAAGGTCAGATGCCGAACAAAGGCAAGAGGTTCATTCCTTAACTCCATGTAAAGTTGTAATGAACCATCACATGATAGAGATTTAATTTGGATAATACCAGCATACATCAAGCCATAGTAAGCAATCCTTTAAGCTTGCTCCTATCTATCAGTGAATCCTTTCACAAACACAAATTTAACTCCAGATGAACAGCAAACCTTTATCACAACCAAAGGCAGTTAGATACATTTTCATTTTGTGGTCCTTCAACACATCATTCCATCCAATATCCAATCTGTGTCCCTCATTCATAACAGTAAAACAGATGGAAGGCCTCAGTGCAGATGTAATGCTATATTGCAACATGAGGGTCATGGGTTTGAGAAAACAGGCACAGTTTCTCTGAATGCTGGAGTATGACTAAACACAGTACTGGCATGCCAAGAAAATTTACCACCTATCCACATCCATAGAGGGTACTCAATATTCTGTCAGTTGACTGGAACAATATTGATAATTTTTCAATTTCTTGTAAGATCAACTAGATTGCACACACCGCTCTAAAATGACCCAACAAGCAAACATGTTACTATTTCCAACACTACAAGCATTTGTTCTTCTTAAAAACTAGTAGCTAACAGTGTCACTTTAGTTATTAAACATTCATGATTATAATGAGTGTCAAAGAATCATCATTAACCAGTTTTGAACTTCTGCATCAGGGCACATGAACTTGTGCATCGTCAAGGTTCAGAATAACACATAAGCCCCATGGTTTTGAAACTAACCAGTTTACAAAGGAGTTAAGCTCACATTTCGACAGCTAATATTGCTTAAAAATATTTATTTTGGCATGTTGGTATCTTTCTGAAAGATTTTTAGTACTAAATGTTCAAAAGATTAGAGGAATCATATTTAAAATTTAAAAAGTATGGGGCTACAACTAGAAGAACAAATCCTATAAGCTGAGGATGCATCACTGTATCAGAATCTAACCCATTAAAGAGAACCAAACTGTTGAGCTGACTTCATATATCATATGTATTTCTGCAGACCAGTAAGAAAAGGAGTGCACGGAAAATCTGATCCATATAGACAGCAGACCTAGCTCGGCCAAGCATTCAACCTTATTGTCTTTTAGTAAATACAATGATTAAATAATTAAACCACAAAGATTCAGTTTAAACCATTATCTTAGAGAAGAAAGTGAGGTAAGCAAACTTACTGTCTTTTAGCTTCAATGTCTTTGCTGAAATCAATGTTGGGTTCGCAGTCCAGAATCAGAGCTGGAACCTAATTAACAAAGTTCATTTTCATCAAATGAAGAAATTCATTACTAGTGAGGGAAAAAAAATGAAAAACTACCTTTTGGATACTTGGATGCATGTGATTGCCTTCTAACAAGAACACACGATCCCTTATATCAGGATGCAGGGAGTCATCCATGTGCAGAGGCAACTGACTGACTGACAATACACCATGGTTTCCATGTTGAGAAGGGAACAACCAGCTTTCATGTTTCTCATGCAAACCCCTCAAGTACTCCAGATTAACACCACCTTCTTCTGCCCTATTTCGCAGCATCATTCTTTTGTGACAAGTGTCAGGGCTTGCTCTAAGATAAATGAAACCATCAGGAATAAGCCCTGGAAGGCATGATACAACAGGATCAAACCATGAGTCATAGATGCTAATCTCCATCTCATTCATCCAGTTGGCCTCATGAACAGCACGCACAAAGACCTGCATATAGGAGATCAGACAGCTTCAATATCTGAGAAGCAAGTATTGAATTGCACAAATGCACTGTCAAATGAAAACAGTGTTATGGAGAAAATGGCTAGGGTCATGTTATTAATTTATCACATAATGTGCTTACCATTCTATCACTGAAAACACTTCTTTCCATGAGCCTGAGAGGCTTTATTCCACCAGATGACTCTCTTTCCTGCATGACCCTTGTCACAAATACATAATTCTGGAAGGTGTAAGCATACCTCTGTGGCTCAGCATAGAACGCATCCAAAATATTAAAGTGATCAGGACCAATATCCTGCCACTTGGCAATAGGTTCTGGCACTATTTCCACAAGATCACGTAATTCAATTGTCTCATTAGCTATTCTTTGAAGGAAAGTAGTCTTCCCAACACTAATATTTCCTTCAACACAAAATGTGAGCCTGTTCTTTGTTGCAAGTTTCACATTAGACTCTGTGGTGTCCTCTTTCAACTCTTCATCTACTTTTTCTTTGATAAAGGAGGTTATGCTCTCTGCATGGTTTTTGTGAATGATTCCCACAGAGCTCTGTAAGTATTCAACCATCTTGTGGCTGGATTCGCCGACAAACTGCGAGAACACGGAATTTATTAGAGACTATGGAATGGAAGCCATAAACACAACATTTATTAAAATGTGAACATTCAAAGAACTAATCATTCTAGAGGATCCATAATAGCTACTGAAACAATCATAGATATGGGTGTCATCGTATAATCTCCCAACAACATGTTTAGCAAATAAACACCTTGGCACTCATAACAGATACTAAGAAAAGGATGATGAAACTCATAAAACAAAAAAGGTCAAAAAAATCATATAACAGAATATACTCATTTATATTACATTGCAGAATGATCAATGAAGGCGTCAAGCCATATCTCCATCGTGTTGATTCTCTAGTGGTTATCACTTGAGAAACAACTCAACCTTGTCTATAAGAACCAATAGAATTAGTTAAACATAGTATCATTCTACATAATGTCATAACAAAAAAATACATTTAATTCTTAATTCAGCCCCTGGACTATATTTTATATAAGAATGCAAGTTTCTTAAGCTTCAAGGACATTTCTTGAGCTTCAAAGAAATACTGCAACTGCTAAAATCAGATCAATGGGAGAAACATTATCATATACCTTATCGATGTATAGCTGTTTGAGCTGGGCCACGCCATCGAAACCCTTGTTCACCAGCTTCCTAAGATTCCGAGGCCCAACCCCAGGAATCGTCAATAGTTCCAAGCTCCCTTCCGGGGATGCGTCCAAAATTCCACCCCTCGGTCTCCTCTCCACGGTACTGCTGCCAGCCGACGCAGCCCTCTGCTGCGTTACCCTATTCTTCTTCTCCCCCTTCACCACCGCGCCCTTCTCCTCATCGTCCTCTTCTTGGCTACTCCCGTTCCCAACAGAACCCTCGAAGCTCCCACCTTTGTCCCGAACCCTCAAAGCTTCGACCGTCCCAAAGCACCTCGCCCAACCGCCGCGCAACAAGGGGGCTAAGGCCGACATCCGAGCTCGGCAGAAGAGGCGGGAACCATTGTCGGCGGGGACGGACACGGGATCAGATTTTCGAAAGGGATTGTGGCTTCGCTGGAGGATGGCGGGGGAGGGTGGAGGCAGAAGGCGGAGTGCGGGCATCGATGTTAGCAGGAAGGCTCGGGTAGCGGTGGTCTCAATCCAGCCAGCAGTGGAGAGGACGGGGGTTCCATTCCAGAGCTTGTGCATAGCTTCCGCTGCTGCTGCTGCTGTTGCTGCCTCTGGAGTACATGAAGAATCGTAGAAGAAGAAAAATGAAGGGACGGAGAGAACTGGGTTAGGGTTTGGGGAAATACGAAGGAAGGGGCGGGGTTAGGGTTTTGGGGATTCGAATGTTCCCTTGGGAAGAGGAGAAGCTGAGGGAGAACTCAGCCGTAAGATTGGATTCCTTTCGCTCCTCGGCCGTCGATATGTCACGGATAGAAGGAAATACATCACGTGAAATACGGCAAAAAGGATAGAATCCAAACCGCCATCTCAACCGTCTCTGTACCCTTATCCTCACACCTCAACCGTCCATTTGATATTAGCTATACCTGAACATTTCTCGTCGCACAACTCACAGTAATAGGGGGCGAATAGAAAACGAACGGTCATGATCTGTTAAAAGGTTGAACGGACGACCAAGATGGGAGAAGCTGATCCGTTCAAACTCTTTGTAATGTATTTGTTTGGTTCCGTAAATTGGAAATTAAATTCAAATATATCAGATAATTTATATAATTACATGAGTCCTCAGCAAGTTTCATTTCAACAATAAAGAAATTTCCTACAAATACATGTTGAATTTCGTATTTTGATGATGAAACTCCTTGATATATGTTTATGATTTAATCTGCGTTTTGAGTGACGCAGGGTGCTTCGATTAGGATGAGACAATTAAAGCAGGAACATCATGTTGTGCCGGAGGAACATGTCAGAAGATTGGACGTCGGGCCGGTGGATCGGTTGACGTATCGATAGAAGGCTTCGGGTCGTGGACTCGGGCATCGGGCCAAGAAGAGCGGGTATTGTGCCAAGGATATCGGAATTGCGGAGTC